GGACCATCTGGTGATAACTCGGAGCCATTTCACATTGTTGCAGAGACAAATCAAGGCCTTCTTTGATTGAGTTTATGTAGCACTACATTTTACGGATGTTTCGGATCTTCCGGCGGATCATCTGGTGACCACTTGAAGCCATTGAAACGCTTATATATCTAAAATCATTAATTTACTACATTTCATATAGTTGCAGAGAATAATCAAGGCCTACTTTGATAAAAAAAAATACATAATAATCCAGATTAAGGTTGATCCGGGTCATCGGAAGGCCTTCCGGTGGACGCTCAGTATTTAGAACCAGGTTATGGGTTGATTTTGTTAAAATATTAATCAGCACTACCCATAAATGCCTGTTGCTGTGGATTTTCAGCACCACCTTGTTCTAGACGACTGGTACCTTTTCTCCCCCCGATGGCCTCTCGGAAACCCGGAATAAAACCGGAACCACTTGGCCAATCTGTTCCAATTTTTAGTAGACCATAATTTCGAACATTTTTCTACTCACTGTGAAAATTTCAACCATTTCAAGTACATAATTAGAAAACTTCATAAGCAATAAGAATACAACATTGAATTTGTGATGGCTATATCATAAATACATTTCACAAGTAATAAAAAAAAATCAAACACGCGAAAAACACGAAAATTGTTTTTTAATGTGTTTGTAAAACATGTAGCACATACTATATAAAACTAAATACGTTATCAAAGGAAATACCCTAAGCTACAATATGGAACCAATGTTTCAAATTTGAAAAAGCACAACTAGTAAATTTAATCTTTATATTATACTATCAAAGTTACCCGCATTATCAAAGATACCCCGTTTTACGGTACCTATTTTTGAATCTGACCGGAAATCTGACTAACGTAATTATCGTAGCATAGCCATAATCTCTTGCATTCCAAAGCTTATGGAGGCAACAGTTAATGAAAAATTATTTCTTCAAACCAAAAATAGAATTACTGAATGCAACACGGCTTTTTTAAGGAAGTTTGACCTCGACAAACTTACTTGGATTTAAAGACTAATCATGAAATACTATGGATAATGGAAACCACGTAGAAGCCCTCTATACGGAATTTGGCAAGCCTTTGACCGAATTGACATACCAATGGTACTCTTCAAATTAAAAAAATAAATTGAGCCAAGACTCTTGAAATGGCTTGAATCATATTTAACTAACCGCCAGCAAAAAAACTAAATTCAACGAAAAAAAAATCGACCCCAATTCAATTTACCTCAGGAGTCCCCCAAGGCTCTCATTTGGGACCTCTTCTTTTTATTCTGTATGTAAATGACATTTCGTTATAATGAGAGAGAGAAGGATTAGTAATTTCCTTTAATTCCACTACCTTTTTTGCTTATCCTTGATAGATACGCGTATTTCGTCTACAATGTGCAGACTTCTTCAGTGTCTTGTACTAATACTCGACTGAAGAAAAACATCGCATTTACCAATATATATTAACACAGGTACATTTTCACTTAGAAACTAGGTAAACTTAAATTTAATTTCCTGTAGGAACAGGTACTCCGCTACTTACTCGTTGATGTGCCCTAGGTAGTAACTTGAAAAGCCATGTGTGTCCGTTTCCTTGATCCCTGTTGTTAAAGTTGAATTACGTTGTTTGTTGATCTCGAGGCTTTCTGCAACATCCAATTTCCATGGTGTGGATACGGTTCGTAAAATCGTGATGTCCTCCGTCGATAGTTGGTGGTCCTCTCTGAAGATGTGTTCTGCAACCTTTGATTTGAAATCATATGTTAGTCCTTTTTCCTCTTGCTTTTTGGCCTTATTAACCTCCGCTATATATTCTTAAAATCTAGTTGCTAAAGTTCTCTTGGTTTGTCCTACATATACTTTGTTACAATGATTACAGCTTACTTTATATACACCTGCTTTACCTAAAACATTAACTGGGTCTTTAGTGGATCCTAACAATGATTTCAACTGGTTATGTCTCCTGGTGAAAACTAAATCTAATCCGAATTGTTTTAACTGTGGTCTTAGCTTACAAGTAATATCTTAATCAAATGGAACGGACACTCGTTTCAATGGTTCAGGTGCTGCGGGGAGGGTTGTAAATAATCTCCTTTGTAGAATTCTCGCTTTTTTATCGATGATTGCCTGGATTGTGGTCTCCTTGTATCCGTTGAGTCTTGCTGTTTCGAAGATGTACTGTAATTCCATAACCTTTCCTGTATCGTTGAGTCTGCATTCGATGAATCATGTGGTGAAAAGCGGCCATTTTCTGCTGGAACGAATGGTTGGAAGAATAGGGGATAACTCTTTTGGTGCTTGTTGGTTTCCTGTAAATTTCGTATTCAAGCGAGGAAGATGATGACGATTCCCTGATGACTAGAAATCGAGAAATGCGAGTTTCCCGTCTTTTTCTACCTCGTGAGTGGATTTGATATCCTTGTGAATTCTGTTGATCTCATCTAAAATTTGTGGAAGGGCTTCCCGTTTAACTACGCTGAATACCGTTCCGATTCAAATTTCGGACGATTCAAATTTCGGACACTTTCATTTTTAATTAAATATTACATCCAGTTAGAAACAAAGTAATAATGTTAGATGATCGTGGAGGGCACTAGTCAAAAAAATTTAAAATTTACAAGACATGTGGATCATATTCGACCGAGATAATCAACTTTTAAAAGTGTCCGAAATTCGAGTTTAAGTGTCCGAAATTTGAATCGGCACGGTAGTTCTCTTCCATACAAAGGCGGGTCAGCTTAAGATACGTCCGAACCTTGTTTCTCCATGCTGCATCCTCTCTTTGTGTTAATAGCCATTCCTCCAAATGGTTGATCGCTTCCTTGACCGGTACGCTGGGAAAAAGAGCTGTGACGTCGAAAGATACCATAATCTCGTCCTCGTTGGTGTCTCCTGAAGATTGTAGTTGTTGGGCGAACTCCTGGGTGTTACTAACTGCTTTACTCTGGAACTGATTCGGCATACTCTGGAACTCTTTGACTAGCCACTTCGCTAGCTTGTGGGTGGAGGAACCAACTGCAGACACGATCTCTCGCATTTCATTTCCCGGTTTGTGGACTTTGGGGAGACCTTTGATCCTGGGTAGAATGGGATTGGGTTCCCGTAAACGACCTGCTCCATCTCTTAATATCGATTTGCACTCCTTCAGTGCTTTCTCCACGCGTTTCACTATGTTCTGTAAGGGGTCTACTCGAAGCTGTCTATACGGTCCGTTCTTAGTCTTCGTTGTCATCTGATTATCGTAATCGTCCTTGTCCATGATAACGACCGCGTTTCCCTTGTCTGCATTCACGTAGTATACTGCTTTACTTTTTAGCTCCTTTACAATCCGAATTTCTTTTTCGTTGGCGCGACTTTGTTCCTGTCCGTCCTTGATTATGTTCGATGTGATAGTCCTAACCGTATTCTGTGTTGATGTTGGAAGTGTTTTGGTAATCGCTGTTTCTACGTCAATGATGATCTGCTCCACGTCTGGCTTGGTTGTAACCGCGTATCCTAGCCCCTTGTTGAGGTGTGTCAATTGTTCTTCCGTGAATGATTATGATTATGATGATAGTGGTCTACACTCATTGTAGCACGAAAGCTAGTCCGATGGCTGTGGGCTCTCCTCACTATTGAACTTGATCAAGCTTAATAACCTCTGATTAACATCAGCAAATCGCTGTATGAAGGACCAAAAACGAATGGATGGATTGATCGTCAATTCGCCTATTCATCTCCTTGGGACAGCAAAGAATCTCCTTCCAACAACTTGATCAGTCAATTGGTCTGAAAAAGAGCCATCCAACAGGAAGATGCCCCAATGAATGGGAAGAAGAGCCCGCCCTTTATCCACGAAATGTTAGCAACAGGGAGTTGACATTTTCACTCTCCCCATCCAAATCGCTTCAATTGGGTGCCACGGTAGCCCTTCCCAGCATTTATTGGTTCATGTAGTTTTAAATTAATATTTTTTATTTGCAAATGCTATCATTTTAAAATTACAGTGACTGGAGGCGCACCAGCCTCAGTCTGAAAGCCTCCTTAATGAAGATAAATCAATCAATCAATCAATTACAGTGACTTACCTTTGATGATGTACATATACTTACCTATGATGATGCCTAAATGGTTGCCTGTTGCCGTTGGTTGCTTCTTTTGAAATCCCTTGTACTTTTTCTCTACCGCTTCGTATTTCATTCCCAGCTTCACCGATTTTCACCGGGGATTTTTAACATAAAAACATGTCATCGATATTTTTCATACAGTAAGATTGAGTGAAAAGTGGTCAATAGCAAAAATTGATAAAATCGATTTCCATTCTGTACATTAAAAGTTTAATGTTGGCCCACATTTTGCATAAAAACACAATTTAATATTTACCTTACGGCCCTCCCTTGCCGTGCCTGTTCCTTAAACTATTCTTGAAAACGCTGTAATAACCCTTAAAAAGTCAAAACACGAAAAATGGTCACACAATTGCTACACTAGCCGACACTACTATTACCAAAATGGCTTCAAAACACGAAAATGGCATATAATAGGCTTAAAAACGCGAACATGGCCTTAACATCTATAACACGGCTTGACAACTATTATAATACTGCAACGGCTCCGTAAAGCTTCAGCAATTGAGTCTTCCAAACAAACGAACTGTTATTTAAAAACAAAACTAATAATAATCTTGAAACGTCAAAATGATCGTTATTGTAGTTCAATCTGTATTTTCATAATTTCAAACTTAGCTAAATTATGCATGAAATTTGAAAAAAAAAAATATGACTATAAATTTCTTCAACTCACCTGAGGGCAGCCAGTGATCCATAATTGTACCCATTGAAAAACGTTAGTCTGCATAGAATCGTATATCCCGGACTTTTTTCGATCTAAGAATCTATGCAACTTGGATAATGCTCACGCTAGATGTCATGCTAGTTTAAGACATGTTACATAAAATACAATCTAAGTCGTACTTTAACGTACTAACATTTTTATTTCTTTATCAATTTACAGTAAATGTCGTCGAAGCGCTACAGGAGTTCTGGCAGATGAAAGCAGCGCGGGGAGCAGAGCTAAAGAATGGCGCACTTGTGATATACGAATCCATCCCTTCGACCAGCCAACCCTACGTGTGCTACGTAACCCTACCCGGTGGTAGCTGTTTCGGAAGTTTTCAGGTATAATCTGCTCTTAACTGCGTTACAAAAAAACACACAAGCCTATGGCTAATCATGGAGTTTGTGAAAGGAAACCTTAGTTAAAACAAATCAGTATAGGTGAAACGCCCACCAAACGAAGGTATTGGTTCTCATGTTTCATATGAGGGTTCAAGAACAATTTTTATGTATTTCATATATTTCAGTGTAAATCACGTCCTTCAAAAATTGGACCCATTTTAGTCCAAATTTGTCTGGAACAATTACTGTCGATAGAACGTTTTCACACTAGCCTTAAATGAAAGAGAAGCCACCAGTTTGATTCATAAACCCAAAATATGGTAAAGTTTGACGAAGGTTTAGAGGACGCACAAACAGTTTGAAGATGAAATGGAGATTTTGGTAAATTTATTGAATTTCACTTACTTTTGTGTTATAGTAGTCTACACGTTGATGATAAAATTGTTGTTGTTGTCTTGTATATATTCAACTAGGGGAAATGACGGCTTCGGCATGCCAGACTATTTTCGGCAACCCAAATTGAAACACTATTTTCACTGGATTTTCTTACGAAAACACTTCACTGAATGCATGCAAACGATTCTTTATGCTTTCAGCTTCAATTTGACTATATTTTTACCACTGAGAAAAAACAATCTAGCAAGATTTTCTTGAAATGAAACACACGCACTACAAATTGTAGCTGATTTCGAGTTGCCGATAATAGAACAGCAGATTTTCATGCAGTTCAAATGGAATGGCTGCCGAAGAAAAACTGGTTGCCGACAATACTCGCTCTCACTAGAGAAGATTGGAGCTTTGTAAAAGCGTTTCAAAACAGTTTTTGACCATTCTTTCGACTGAAATTGTTAGAGTAGCTGGCAGCAAAAGATTGTAAGCAAACCAATACTGCATATGTGTGCGTTCCTTAGAGAAAAAGGCTATAGAAAGAAGGTCGCTGCTTAGGTTGCCGAGAATACGTAAATTCCCCTATCAATTTACCCTATCTTATCATTTTTACACATTTCTGTCTTTCTTGAATTGCTACCAAACCGACTGCAACAAGTTTGTTGGAAATTTTTATAGCAACCACAAATTACAACCAGGAGTTGGACAACTAGAACAAAAGTTAGAGTGAAATTTGAAATGCAGCCATAGTCATTCCTATACAAATTTCAAACCATTTGCGCGACCTCTAAGCCTTCATCAATCTTTACCATTATTTACACTGATGATATGTTTGGATTATAAATCAAACTGGAGGGTGGCCTATAAGAAACCTAAAACATTTTTTTTAATGAATCACTCGAAAAAGCACATATGATTTCGTTTTTCTGTGTTCCAGCTATACTGATTTTTTTAAATAATAATAAAAACCCCGTGCTAATGGTTTAAATGTTGGCTCATTCCAGAATTGCCCCACGAAAGCCGAGGCTCGACGAAGTTCCGCCAAGATAGCTTTAATGAATTCCGTCTTCAACGAACACCCGTCCCGTCGGATTAGTGACGACTTCATCGAAAAGGCAGTCCAGGAGGCCCGCGCGTCGTTCAAAGGCGAAAACCAAGAGGAAGATGGACCGGACACGGGAATCGGAGCGTTTAGGTAAGGCTGAAATGAATCCAACCGAAACGTTGAAAATAAACACTAACCCAACCGTAATCCTTTGCAGATTCATGCTGGAAACTAACAAAGGTCGAACGATGCTCGAGTTCCAGGAGTTGATGACGGTGTTCCAGCTGCTGCACTGGAACGGGTCACTCAAGGCGATGCGCGAGAGGCAATGCTCCCGACAGGAGGTGGTAGCCCATTACTCGAACCGCTCGCTGGATGACGAAATGCGTCAGCAAATGGCTCTCGATTGGATCGAACGGGAACACGAAAATCCTGGACTGCTCAGCAGAGAGCTGGCGATTGCCGAAAGAGAACTAGAGACTGCTCGGTTGGCTGGACGAGAGCTGCGATTCCCCAAGGAGAAAAAGGACATCCTCCAGATGGCTCACAATCAACTCAACGGCGGCAGCAATATCAATAGTTGAACATCGATTTGTGATGGGCGCTAGTTTTTAAGGATCGGTAGCATCAAAACAAACAACAAGTTCATATTCCAAGAAGTGCATCTCCTGTTATGATTACTCTGCGCGTGTAGCATTGACATTGGTCTCGTACTTGCTTCTTTTTGGAATCCTAACGTGTGAAAATTCCTTATTAATTTAATGGATTTGTTTTTATGCATTAATGATTACGTTTTTTGTTTGATATATAGTTTTATATTAGAGACGAACAAATCATGCAGCAAGGTTTTATTTGCAAATAACTTATAATCGATAAACGGACAACCAGAACATAAGCTCAAGTAAATGTGATTCTTATCTCCATACTAATCATAGCACTTACGAGTAACATTCCATAGCCGGTATTCTGTGAACAGTGTGAGTTTTTTTTTTCTTTTAATTTGGTGGTGGTGATTTTTTGTTTACTAGTTGACTACTTTTACATTCTAATCTTTTAACCTTCCACAGAGCTACTGATAGTTTCACTACAATTACGATTAAACACCGCACCTACGAATTATTCCCATCTTATACTGATAGAACGAATACAATAGTTTAACATAGCAAGTAACACAGCATTAATACAATAGAACCCGGACTCGGACAAATGTACATACACACCCAACAACGATTCAGAATCCGTTCATTGTCGATCTTAACACCGTTCAATTTCGCCTTTTACTCTTTTAAGCGTGCAAAATCGTTTCTTTTCTTTTTGTTTTTTTTTCCAAAATTTCATTAAAGAGCAAATCCCACAGCCAAGCTGATCAAATGCAAACGAACATACAACCTGGAGGCAAATGAATTTTTCGATGCGAGAAAAATCTATTTATTCAAACAAAAATGTGATTTTAATTGAGGAGCAAAAATTTAGTTAGAAAAATTGGTGATTTTGAAAAATCGAAAATTTTAATTTATATTTATAATAAAATGCAAAGGCAACAGCTGCAAATATTTACACCTAAAAGTAATTAATCTAGAAAATGTTTTTTAACCGTAACTACAGAAATGAATCCTTTCGGCCAAATTTAATCTTAAAATTTAGACGAAAATTGTGATGTATGCGTAAAATTAAATTTTTATATATTTTATATTTTTAGCGGATGACCAAGCGACATTTTTAATACTTTTAACAGCTAGAGGTAATAACTGAATGCGAATCATATTGATAACAGAAAATAATAAACGAGAAACGATGCTGGCAGGGGGAGGGAACGCTACGAACCAAGCTGACGATGTATTACCATTAAATAATAAACAGAAAGTGGCGGAAAACCGTAGCATATGTCGCCCTGCCAACAACGCCTATCAAAAAAGTGTAAAGATGCAGTTTTAGCAGAAAAAAGCGTGAATAAATAGTTTCGTTTTAAATAAAATGGCTTCAAACTTTTGTTTTTCATATCACTATATCACCGTAATTTACGCAAATTTTCCCCCTTTGTGTCTGTTTGCACACAGCGAAAAAGTCATGTAAATTGTGGTTCCCTGAGGCCGACACATGCAAGCGGTTCTAATGACACAAGAGTCAGTTGCAAAAGACTAGAAAATCAATTCAAACAAACGCACTTTTCGCCGTTTTGCGTATGCTTTGGTTTAGGAACACTTTATTTTACATTAAATGTTTGTTCACGTTCCATGATTTACGTCAAATTGCCTTTGTTGCAGCTTCCTTCAATGAATGCTCGACAATCTTTCAAAGTTTCCTCAATAAATTAGAAACACTGGAATAAGAGACCAGTGGAGAAAAAAACATGAATTTGGCAACAAGATAAACATCAAAGCAATCCTGGCATCACTTGCATTTGTAACTGCTTGCGAGTGACTTCGCCAATGCACCGACGATCGAGTTCATGAGAGATTGTTAAACGATTTTAATACTCCTCCCTAATTGAAGCAAACCATTTGTAAACATTGCAGATTGGAACCGCTTTCGACAATTCGATTGGAATCATAACAGTGTCTCCGCTGGTCTCTTATTCCAGTGTTTCTACAATAAATGCTCCTTCCAAAACACCATTGAGCATTTCTTTGCACATTTAAAAAACTTCTCCATTGAGCCTTTAGTACACCCAGCAACATAGCATATATGGAACTCGATCATCAATATGGTAAAGGGTGTCCACGATGAAATTGCCACACTATGAAATTGCTCTAACTTTTTAACCGTTGGGTAGAATTTAATGAAAATATGGGTGAATTTAGTTCATAGTGCATTATTTACATCCTGCAAGTTTTAAAGTCCTGTGATCAAAACTCGCGGAAATGGAGTCGAAAGAACAGCTCGTGCGTGATAAAATCTTGCGCATTCATCACGAGAACAAGGATCTCTCGCATCGTTCCATCGCTAAAACGTTGGGAATTGCGAATTCCACGGTGTCGCGAGTGATTAGGCGGTTCGAGGAACGGTTGACCACCGATCGGAAGCCCAGAAGTGAAGGAAAAAGTATTCCGTACAACACCAAAAATCACAACCGCGTAGTTGGGGCCTTCAACCGAAATCCGAACGCCTCCGTTTGGGATGTGGCTAAGAAGCTGCACCTAAGCCGAAGTTTTGTCCAGAAGGCCAAAACTAAGGCTGGGCTTCGAACGTTCAAGGTACAAAAGGCCCCTAATCGCGACGAGAAGCAGAACAAGTCCGCCAAAACCCGTGCCAGGAAGTTGTACCTCAACATGCTGACGAAAGTTGAATGCTGCATCATGGACGACGAAACATATGTGAAGGCCGACTTAAAACAGATCCCCGGCAACCTGTTTTTCACGGCCAAGGATAAGTTCAGCGTTCCGGAGCATGTCCGCACTCAGAAGATGTCCAAATTTTCGAAGAAATTCCTGGTTTGGCAAGCCATCTGCACGTGCGGGAAGCGGAGTGCACCTTTCGTGACCCAGGACATGATGAACGGACAGGTGTACATAAAAGAGTGCCTCCAGAAGCGACTGCTTCCTCTCCTGAAGGCCCACAACGTCTCAACAATCTTCTGGCCGGATTTGGCCTCATGCCACTACTCCAAGGACGTGCTGAAGTGGTATGCGGACAATAAGGTCAATTTCGTGCCGAAAATGTTCAACCCTCCCAACACTCCGGAGCTCCGCCCCATCGAGAAGTACTGGGCGATTATGAAGCAGCACCTTCTTAAACGACCTAAGGTAGTGAAGACAGTCGAGGAACTGAAGAAAGTATGGGTTTACATGCAAAAAACGGTTGATTCACAGGTTGTGCAGAATCTTATGGCCGGGGTTAAGGCCAAGGTGCGGGCATTTGCGTATGGACTGTAAATAAAATACGAGTAAAATGGTAAAATGAAGTTTAATAGTTATTTCTCAATCCCTGAAAATTTGATGGCAATCGGATGAAAACTCGAATTTTGCGAATCAATGTTGTGTGTGGCAATTTCATCGTGGACACCCTTTATAGTAGGACATCGATCTATCAAACTAATTATACCAGCTTTAAAATGAGAAAGGTGATCAAGAGGGTAGTCAATTCTATTAAAATAATAATAATAACGTGGTTTATGATTCTATATCTTCTTAGCACTTTCGGACTCATGTCTTTGTATTGCCTTAATCATTTACGTTATTTATTTATAATTATAAAACTATTTTTATCAAATGCATCATATTGCTTTACACAGCATAGCATAAATTAACGTTTGCATGAAAAAGTAGAAATTTTTTGCCGATTTTTTAAGCGATGATTCAGTTTTGAAAGCGATACGTATTGCTTTTTTTTGTAATCATGACCAAAACTGAAGAAACTCCAAGCGAATACTTGTTTATTTCTTTAAATTTGAGTGGGAAATTTTTTTCAATTTTTTTTTCTCTATGATAAACTTAGATAATAAATGTATCCACAATAGTTTTATCATTAAATAGCTGTGGTGGAATTTCTTCTCCTTGGAATTGAAACGTAAAACAAACATAAATCTCTGAACTATGTGTTTTGAGCTGATCTTGCATCTTTCCATTCGCAATAATTTTGCAAGAAGGACAAATTAAATTGAGCGCTTATTGATACATGTAACACCCAAGGTTTTAACCCTCTCTATGTTTATCAATTGCGTACAATTGAATGTTTCTGCTCAAATTCCAACACAAAGATCTACTGACTGGCTATTAGAGTGATGCAAAATTTGAAATTTTCGCTCCAAAATACTTAAACGATTCCAAATCGGATTCTGACTAACCTCTCAAAATTTGAACCCATTTGGTCAGAAACTGAGATGGCACAAACCATTTGAAGTTTGTATGGGAATTACTATGGTAAAACCAAGATTTTTGTTCATTTCTATCTAATAATTCACCATATCGGTCTGCTTCAAAAGCTTTCAACTGTACTTGTAAGAAAGACAGCTACAATTTTGCTGAAAACCACTTTTTGATTAAATGCAAGGATCGAAAGTTATCAATTGTTCAATGCGCTGAAGTCTTATGATCATGCTCAATCAACTGCTCAGCAGGCAACATTGGTGTTTCTGGGGCGTTGAATAGGACACAAAAATCATGGTTACTATGTCACACTGCAAAATACAGTGTTGCCTACAGAGCAGCTGCTTGATCATGTCATAAGTCTACCAATATCTTAAATAATTATTAACTTTTTTCTGTCTCGTTTTACATAGAAACGATCTTCAGCAAAGTTGTAGCTGAGAAACTGTTGCGCAGCTAAACATGAAAAAAGACTAGAAGGCAATGAACAAAAAGTTTAGATTTCCCATAGTAATTTACATGTAAACTTCAAATGGCTTGTGCGAAGTCTGTTTCTAACCAAATGAGTTGTAACTTTGGGAGGCTAATCAGGACCCGATTTGAAACCATTTAAGCACTGTGGAGCGAAAAAGTCAAATTTTGCATCAGTCTACTGGCTATCTACAATATGACTGATTTACAACGCGCTTGATTGACTTCTGACCGACTTGAAGTCTCGAGTAACGTTTGAAATGGGACTATGTCCAAAACGTAAACAAATCGAGTTTTGATACCATTCTTTAGCACCGCTTGATAGCTACTAATCGGGTAGGAAAGTTCCACATAATCGAGAAAAATCATTAAAAATAACTCGATTTTCGAAACGGCCGATCAACGAAATTGTTCGATTCATCAATAGGCCCGCACGCTAAAACGGCCAACCATTCTTTTTTTTTCATTTAATTGATAAGCTTAGTGACGTAGAAGGGCCGATGATTGGGTAATTTCAAACCAAAGCTAGGCCCTACTGCTTGAGGCAGGGCCGATGATTTGTTTTGAAATTAAATTGTTATCGATTTTCAAATATTTTTGAAAGCTTTTCGCATATTGTTGATGTTGTATATTGAGATACAGTTACTATTGTTATTGTGAACAATATAAACGCCTAAATACTTCCATTTTCTTAAATATGAATTGAATAGTGGCGGAAAAATTTAAAATTCATTTTCTGGTTTGTTTACGTTTTGCACATAGGCCCATTTCAAATGTTACTCTAGAAGTCACGCGTTAATAAATCTTTTGATAAGCCCCCTTTGCCCTAAAGCTAGTCTAAACAAGAATGACCGCATTACGTTGACAATTCGCCTTTTAGTTCATTCTGTAACTCTTTACTCCTATAGAAAAAAGCGAACGTCAGTCTGTGCGTGAAACATGTTAGACATTTTCCACATTTTCTTAACCTTTCACTACAGTGTAAAATCCAGGAGGCTGGCAATCCCACATCAATCCTATACGTTTGACTGTAGGAAACATCACGGGCCTTATGTAAATACGGCCCGCTTCACGTATACATGGTGAAAAGGAATGGAAAATCGTTTTATAAGCAGTAAGACAAGAGCAGATGATAGCATCAAAAACATGGCCGTAAGCTAGGCCGTAAGTCAGACCCCTGGAAAAATCCCATACAAGATACTGCATGAAGAGACGGCGGCTCGCTGGTACTATGGTGGAGTGAAGAGATAAGACAAAATCCGCTAGATTTCAAGCACAGATTGACAGATGGGATTTCATTATAGGAGTAAAGAGTTACAGAGCCGCCCTCAACAATACAATATTTCAAAGCTACTCAAATTTGGGTGAAATCCTCCCAGATCGGTCACAACTGAACCTACTCAAAATGGGTAAACTATGTTGGGAGTGACAATTTGAAAAATGGACGACATTGGTATGGACCCGACTGACATTGTTGAATTGTTAACCTGTCACTCCCAACATAGTTTACTATTTTTTTATAGGTTCAGTTTTGACCTATTTTACTCAAACTTGGGTAGTTTTCAAATAGCGTGTACTGAGCGTGCAATCAAATACCTGCTTTTCTTTCATAAGTGAACCCTACACGATTGCTTTTATTGACAATAACCGTATTGTCAATACATTTTATATTGACGTCAATACATCGGTATTGACAATA